CCTAATCTCAATTACTATTCATAATTCATCATACATACTTGATCTTAGTCAATTAATATCTATAAGCTTTACTCTTAAGCAATTCATGTCTATGTGCTTCCATCTCAAGCAATCTATAATGTAATTCATCAATCTTAGAAGATCACATCTAAGTCCTCAATTTCCCTTTTCATGGCATAAAACTCAACTATATCAAATTCACTTTAGAATCATAGGTTAAGCATGAATACATGTATAATCATACTAAAAACATGCAATTCTATCATAAACAATCATAAACAATCATAATCCACTCTATTGGATCATAACCCATAGCATTAGAAGAAACCCTAGATTGACTTGGAAAATTCTTCTTCTAAATTGAGGAAAACATAGGGGATTCATGGATGAAAGGAATCCATGAATGAATAAGTCATCATACTTTGATTACAAAGCCTACCAAGCTTGAACAATGGAGACTTGACTTGACCTAGCTTGACCCTCTTCTTCTTCTTCTTCACTTCCTAGAGAGAGAATATTTGAGAGGATGAACTTTGGGATTCTTTTGGGGGTTTAGAAATAATGACTTGAATGACTTAGTTTAGGGGTCTAAATTACTTATATAGGTGGTCTAGATTAGGGCAAAACGACACCACTTAATCCTAATTAAAACCGGAAAGGACTATCAAGCCCCTAAACTTAACCACCAAACTGCCTTATTTTGGCCCAACCACAAGACCACGCTGACGAGTCGTGGGTGGACCCATGGTTCGTACTGGTCAACCAGGGTTTGGGTTCTGCAGGTTGGAAACAAGGGCTTGGATCCACGGACCCCTACCACGAGGCGTGGACCCATCCACGGGGTGTGGGTCCTGCCCGTGGTCACTACCTTAGGCAGAATTCCCTTGGTGTCCACCCATGCTGCCCACCTATGGGGTGTGGGTCCATCCACATGGTGTGGGTGGCCTCGATGGTGACACCTGGAAGCTCTAAAACATGTTAAACTTCCCTCTTAAGGCTACGGGGTGTTACAAATTCAAAAATTAAAAAACAGAGGGTATACATAGCAAATCCAAACAATTTGAATCAAAATTGAAAGGATCTTCGATGAACATGAAGATTCAAAAGGAAATCGTTTGTCTAATAACAATTTCATCACTTTTGTATCATTTATAACTCACCTCGCTAACCTAAAATTTCGACAAAAGTTTTTGAATCAAATTTGAAAGGTTTCTTCGCTGAACAGGGGGGAGCAATTTGAAATTTTAAATTTCTTCGTTCTGGATTTCCCATCGTATGATTGAGAGTAAGAAGAAACGTAAGCGTAATTTATGGGATTTAATTAGATTTTCATATTTTATTCCATATTTAGCTCAACAGAATGATCCTTCTTGTATTAGAATTAATGTACCTGGATGTTGAATTAATGTATCCGGATGATGAATTATGTATCCGGAAGGTACAAATTTTAAGGGATTATTGTTATTAGAAAAAGAGTAGGGGTAGGATGTAATTTATTCTTTACACTATGGGATTTATGTAAGTTATGCTTATTATTTTTGCTGGAGCTTTATTATATAATTATTATTATTATTATTATTATTATTATTATTTATGCTATTTCTTTTTTTCAATTTATTAGGCGCATTATTTTCAACTTTGTATTTTATTCTTTTTTATCTCTGTTGTTTCTTTTTTTGTTTTTACGTAACTCTCTTTATATATACTAATTCAAAAGAACTCTTTAAGAAAATATCAATTGTTCTTAAACCTGAAATTGAGATAGAAAAAATATATATTAAAGATAAGGTAAATTAAATTTAATCGAACGAAGAAATTTGAAAGGCATGAATATTCATGATATTTCTTTCTTATTTTTTTCAGTTCTATTCTAGAGAGATGTAAACTAAATTTATTTGATTTATTCATCATTTTTTTACAGATGAAAAACCTTATAAATTGAATAAATGAATTAAAAATTGACGATGCCATCTATTTATCCCTTTAATGTGCATTATAATATTAGTAACTCAATCCCCACACATTTTTGAAGAATATTAAACAACTTTCAAAGTAACATGTGATCGAATGAACACTAATTTATTTATTTATTAAATTCAAAATAAAGTAGTACATTAGGTACAAAATAAAAGGGAAAAATCACAATTTTTTAAAGAACACTCAATGAAATAGGGTTAAAGTAGCAAGAAATGCTAAACGCGGCATGACATGGCAAGTTAAACTTAGCGAATTAAGGTTAATTTTTTTCTTCCCTGTCCATTTTGCTCCATTTTTCAGCTTACTTCTTTATATGTCGAACCCCCTCCACAAAAATCTTAGTTCCGCCACTGATTACAACCTTAACTATATCTCAATAACTAGACTCGATACTCAATAGCAATCATAAATAGAGACACGTCAATTCTTGATATACTTTCTCAATTAACTTCTAGACTCGAGCTAGATTAGAGACTTGACTTGGCATCATTCTTCAATACTAGTCTTTTGATTACTTTTAAACTCAATTATGAATGCTATTCAACATCTTTCTCGATACGATTCTTTTGACATTATGAATGACGGTCATATCTTTAGTTTATTCCATTGTACCAAAAACAATCTTGTATGTAATTAACCCTTCGATTAGCTTATGAGACATCAGTGAGACAGAAGGTGCTATTAGTCCACTTGTTTATCAATGAGTTCTTTTCTGAAACACATTCAAGCATTGCATTTTCAGAGTATAATGTTTTTGTTGAGATGCATTTGAATCTCAGATATCGAGTATCAAATTTTCAAAGACATTGATATCACATTGCAAGGGTCGATGATCACTCCATAGTTTCAACTATGGTCATTAACTTGGATCTTTCCCGATAATGACAACTTACCGGCTAAGGTTTGCATCAATCGATTCAATTTCTATTGGTTTTCAATTTTAAATATACTAAATTAATAAGATATTTTTTATTGATTTAGGTCCTTAGCAAATTTTCATCGATTTAGGTCCTTAGCAATTCATTTTAACCAATAAGAAAATACTTACAAAATAAATACATCTTCTCTAATAATTTGACCGAAGAAGACAATAATGTAACTTTACAAACACAGACCTGAATTTAGACATCAACGATTTAGGAGAAATGGGTACTGCCAACGGATTGACTGCAATATGAAATTTATTAGCACAAAAAACATAACAATATGCCAGCAAACTGTTTTGTGCCTTTACGTTAATTTCTTTTTAGTGCCATACAAATGGAATAACCAATCAGCACTTCTGAATGCATTGAGCTGAATTTCACAAAGATTAAACTTTTGATGTTTTATTCTTATTACTGAAAGCGTACAACAATCTATCTAACTAAACAACTATTACAAATTTCTACTTTTAAGGCCTCCGTGCAAGGTCTCCCCTCCAACCTTGAGCATTTCCGGATCAACTGGGACCTTGATCTTCACCAAATTCGCAGTTCATGCCATCACACCTCAGCAATATAGCTTTCACTCCACACCACATCATATCATCAGCCCTCAGCAATAGAGAGAGTACAGACCAACCAGGAAACAAGGAAAAGAATTTTGTTATGGAGAAAATACAATTCCACACCAGGGTAGGATGCTCAGGAACTCATGTTGGCTAAGATACAAAAAAAACATGCAATATGACATATAGGACTGTTCAGGATTTTCATGGCAACTAACTTTGGTGGCTACAGAAATATACAATTAAATTCAAAAAAAGTCTAATCTTTTTGCACGGGGAATCAGATGAGAAGTTTGTTTTCACACATTCAGATCCAAATTGGTAAAAGTACTTGAGTTCCATAATCCTTGATTTATTGTCTACTTACGTTCCATGATCCTTTTGTCGGCTAGTTAAATCTTAATACAATTTCCAGTAACAATTATCAATCACCAATGAAAATGAAACTAAGAACTTGTTTAAATAGTCTGTTGAAATCACAATAGACTAATTTTATGCCTTGCGCCAAGCAGAATAGATCACAAACCATAGCATGGATTGATATCAATCTTAATTTCCAACAAGCAATCATTTTCTTATAGTCCATACACAAATTTAAGGCAATAAAAGACATCAAATACAGCCAAATCTATGAACACGAATCACCAATAAGCTGCAACAGCTTCAATACGCTTGAGAAACAAGGTGAGAACAAAAAATGACAAAAGCACATGTCAAACATATCACTATGCCAAATAGCAATGTGTTGGAGCATGGACAGAGCTAGAAACAAACATCATATTAGGTTCAACTTACAAAATCTACGAATCCTGGAAACAGATAGAGCGGTAAACATGATTCAGCTGAAACAAACCATCCCCACCCCCACTTGCATCATGTGTTTGTTGACCAACTGCCTCATACCCATCTCCCTCCCCAAGTCCGTCAACAAAAAGCAAACAAAGAAATCAGGAGATGTATGCCTTTTAGGGAATATGTTCCAATAATTCCAAAATGATGGATGTTAAAGGAACAGCTAGCTAGAGTTTTCATTTTCTTTTCTGCTTTTGAGATGTGATAGAAACACCACTGGTTATTGAGAGGTATACAAAATGCAAGCAAAATGGCAGACAGCATAGATTTTGGTTCTTGCTAAGACATAGCATTTGCGAGTTTCCAGCTTTCACAAACCATATATACAGAAAATTGTAAATATTAATACACATAATACAATTGTGTCAAGATAATTTGGTTCAAATCAGTGGCCAACAGAAAAAATAAAGGCCCGTTTTTTCACCAGCAGTTGAGACAGCTAGAAATGCAAACAAACAGTGCAAATTTGGATCCTACTACCACACATTTGTGTTTTCCCATCTTCCCATCAACACTCCAGATATTTATTCATTTAAGCACTAGTACTGCTTATATTTAGTTTAAAACATAACTCTAATTAAAACAATATACAAAAAATTTTGTTTGCATCGAATAATTTGTTTCAGATCAGCAGTATCTGACAACATCATAAAGATGCCTTGTAATCCACATACAAGAAGTTAAGCCAATAATGGCTGAACATAATATGATAGAAGATCTAAAATGTCACATTCATCAGATAGGGAACATATAAGAAACAGGAAGTACGGGTAAAATATAAGATAACAAAACTGACATCAATCCTCAATACGCTCATCAAAAGATACAGCAATTTTTGAAGAACCTACATACTAACTTAATACTAGCAAGTATCAACTAACAGCCACACATAAGAGCAGATAGGTGAAGCAGCAACAGATGTACAGCAGTCCATGTAACCAAAGATTTCAGTCTGCAATCAGGAAATCACCACAACCATTTAAAGCATGTTGCATCCAAGAAGCTCTCAAGACACCTGAACAGATATCCACGTACAATTCAATCATTCAAGATTCCAACATATAAAACTTGTTGAGGGCATAAATTTGTAATACAAATCATTTTCAAAGTACAGGGGATGGACATAAGCCACACTAAACAGCATAAGCTACAAGGGGCTCTACAGAACATGCACTAGATTAGTGCAAGTAAATCCTCTCCCGTGTCGTGCACTCTGTGGAAGAAAAGGAAAATAGACAAGAGGAAAGCAATCTCAGGAAACCATTTCCATACTAATTTCACAGAGACAGTTAACCCCTTCACCAATATAGTCTCCAATGTTCTCTTAAGACTTGAGCTTTATGGCTTTTCCCAATTGCTATCAAATAGAATGGTGTCGTGATTGCACATTAATTGGGACAGTAAAAGTAATTAATTACAGAGAGCCATAGAAAAATATCCAAGACATTCCTTTATATCTTCCACCCAACACCATCCTAGATGAAAAACTGATACAAGATACGGACCCCCTTGGGATACTTCACTCAAGAACAAGTATGACGCTATCAGCTCACCAAATTAACATAGAGAAAAAAAGTACTAGTCCACGAACTGAAGGCCAAGCACTCTAATGAAACATTTAAACTACACAATATCAAACAAGGAAAAAAGAAGTTTGTAAACTAAAACACCTCAGATAGTTGCTCAACAAATATATGCATAAACAATACTCAGTGAATCATATGTTGACATGTATAACTGTAAACAAACTCAAAAGGATTACCTCAGTAGTATGGAGGCATGCCCTGGTACATCCCACCTGGTGGAACCCTTGACCCAGCTCCTGGTTGTGGTACCTGTGAGGGATAAGAAGACTGCAAACCATAATTACCACCATCTGGATAACCTCCTGAACTAGGCATTCCAGCAGAGCTTTGAGGCATCCTGTACCCACTGTAATCCCCAGAACTACCACCATACCCACCAGCCCCAGCATATCCACCAGCGCCAGCATATCCACCAGCACCACCTGTAAAGGATCCCGGTCCTTGGTTTCCATATCCAGGCCCGCCAATAGCTGAATTCAGATGTGGATTCTGATGTGCCACCATGCCAGGCTGAGGTGGTGGCTGCTGCATTCCTGGACCAGGCCCACCTGAAAACCCTGAATATGGACCCAAACCGCTAACAGGAACACCATAATTTGAACCGGGCATGGATCCAACCCTATCATCACCAGGCATTCCTCCAGGTCCAGCATTCATTCCAGGGGCACCCCCATGCCCCATATTCTGGGGCTTCCCCTTCTTATTATCGGTTGCCAATTTACACAAGACCTGATGTCCTTCTACTGTCTTCACGGGATCAACTAAAGATGCCCTAGCTCCGTCCTCAGTCTTGTAGACAAAAAAAGCAAAACCTTTAGCTTTTCCAGTTTGTTTATCAAATCCCAAAGGCCCCTCTTCAATCTCTCCATACATAGAAAAGTGATTCAAAAGCTTCTCAGACGAAATTTCAAATGGAACATTACCAACATAGATCTTCCTAAGCGCAACATCAGAAGACTGAGAATTCCCAGAATTACCCGCAGCAGCAAGCTGTGTGACGGTAACACGGCCATCAATTATCTTGTTGGGCACCTTTAAAGAAAGAATAGCAGCATCAACGTGCTTGAAAGTTACAAAACCATACCCTTTAGATCTGGAAGACGCCTTATCAGTTATAACTACAGCCTCATCGAGTTCTCCAAACTCAGAAAAAACCTGTCGGAGTTTGTCGGTGGTGGTCTCCCAACCAAGACCACGAACGAAGAGCTTGCGGTTAGATACGTCGGCGTCAGCGACAGCACGTAGACCTTCGAGAACATCAGCATAGCGTAGGGCGGCGTTACGGAGAATTGAAACGCACTGGTCTTTGGTGAATGTTTCAAGAATTTTGTCGATGTCTTCCGGGGAAAGAACAGCAAGTGCCGGCGGCGCGGCGGCAGTTGTGACGAGTTCGTTGGATACGGGATAAGCACCGCCGTTCTCATCAGCTTTGCGTTTCTTTGTTAGATCCATTTTCGTTCAGAGAAGAGAACAACTGTAAACCCTAGAGAGAAAGACTGGATAATTTGGGGAAGGCGTTATGGAATATAAAACCCTACACGGAGGCAACTGTTTACTTATAAGGCTGAGATGCTCATCCTCCACCTTACGACAGCGTATGATTGACACATCCGAGCTTGTTGGTGTCGGGTCTGGATGAGGCCCATATGCTTCTACTTATTCGGATTGTCAATTATATTATTTGATATAATGTATAAACATGACATTTAATTTGGCTTCAGTAAATAAGTATGCCCTCCAACTTTATGTGTGCATAAGTAGATATTTAAATTTGTATAAAATCGAACAAGTAACACGTGTTCTATATGACATAATAAACGTAGGACGCCACATAGGATGTCATATAAGATACAAATTTGTCATGTAGGGTGTCATGTAGGACGAATGTGTCTCTGTTCAATTTTATACAAATTTAAGTGTCTATTTGTGCACACCCAAAGTTAAAGATCATAATTGTCGGTTGACGACAAGTTAAGGGTCATGTTTATGTATTACTATGCCATATCATTTTATTCACTACTTTACCAATATAAAATATTCCTCCAACTTAACGTGTCTCTCAACCGCGTTGATCTTACCATTCATGTCGGATAAAATCATCTTTTTTAAATTTTACAACGATTTCCTATTGAAAAAAAATCAAAATTTCCACCGTTTTTCAGCTTCTTCAGCCTTTCACACCTTTCGTCACCTTTTTCCTATAAAACTTCATTATCACAAAATAAAGGAGCAAATAGTATCCAATGATGAAGGACAGAACAATCTAAACCATGTAAGAAGGATACAAACAGGTAAGACTAGAATTTTATTTAGTGCAAGGTGGTGGGTAATCCTAACAACTAGCAAGCGAGATATACAAAAATTACTCAGATGGTTAGACCGAGCAAGGTTATGAACAAAGGGAAAGGGTGGTTGTAGGTAATAAATTTAATGCACTATCTAGGGTGAAAATGATTGGAAAAGATCGGAGGGGAGACAGATAAAACACAAGGCTAATAATAATAATGAAGAAGCAGAAAAACAACAGTATAAAGACATCTAAGTAGGAAAAGCATGTAAATAATGAATGCATAAATATAACATATGACAAAGCAAATAAAGTTGATAAAAGGAAGGCGCAACATCAGGTCATTAGCAAGAAAGTTCATCATGGTGATGTTGTACAGGAGGACGAGCTCACTAGTTTGCCTCCAAACGATAAAGCATCCACACGATATAGCAATCAGGTTAGTCAAACAGAAAAGCATCAAGTTACAGCAGAAATAAAAAATACCATGCATGATAAGGAGAAGGAAAGGACTACATCATCTTTACTTTTTTTATGGAATGACATAGTAGAACAAAAAATAACAGCAAATGAGTTAAAGGAAGGAGTGATACTCAAATTATTGCAATGAATGATGATGGACAACTCCAAATACAATAGGAGATTATAGAGAAAGATTCAGAGGTTGATTTTGAAGGAAATCAGGGCAATAACTCTAATTGAAAAGGAATAACCCTAGCTACTGACAAAAGATTAATGTATTTTAATAATGATAATGCAATTTTAGGTTGAACATTTGTCAAGAACAAAATTAGATCATGCTCCTTTGTTATTTCAATGAGAGCAAATCATAAGAATGTGTAAGAACCTTTCAAATTCCTCAGATTCTGGCTAAGACATGAAGATTTCAAGAGTTTTGCGGATGACATTAGAAAGCTTATTTTGAGGGTCATCATTATTTGAGTTTCAAGTATAAATCTAAGCAAGTAAAGAAGGCTCTGTCTAAATGAAGTTGGGGAAAATATGAAGACATTTTCAAGCAAATTGATTATTAGGAAAGAGATTGTTCAAATCAAAGAAATCCTCCAGCTTGCAACAGACAAGTTCTGCAACTTACACAAGTTGAATTGAAGAAGTATCTTTATTATGGGGGGAATTCGAAAAGCAGAAGGCTAGAAACAATTGGCATGTGGAGGGTGGCAGGAACACTATATTTTTTTTTCATAATCTAGTAAATAATATAAGGAAAAGGCTTCAAATTAATACTCTCTCCATCCCATTTTATGTGAGGTAGTTTGACTCGACACAGGGTTTAAGAAAGAAATGAAGACTTTTAAAACTCGTGGTCCAAAATGAATGCTAGAAATTTATGTGGCTGTAAATTATTTCATTAAGGGTAATATAGACATTTTATAGTTAAATTGTTACTTAATATAGAAATGTGTCATTCTTTTGGGACTGACTAAAAAGGAAAGTAAGTCACATAAATTGGAACAGAGGGGAGATGAGGAGTTGATTGAAGAAGAAGCAAGTATTGGTGATGCTGCTTTGAATTTTTTAAGGCCTAATTAACCTAAGAGGAAGAAGAGACATAATATTATCTATTATAGCATATTCTAATTTCAGTGAGTGAAGATAATAATAGTAAAATCAATGTTATTCATAGTTTGGAGGAAGTCAGAAGTGTTATTTTTTCTGTGGAGTGCTAGTGGACCAGATGGTTTATCTGGTGATTTTTTTCAATCTTGTTAGAGCATTGTTCACAATGATGTATTAGGGGTGGTGCACACTTTTCTCAGAGGTGATACCCTTTCTAAATCTGCCACTCACATAAATTTGATCTTGCTACCTAATAAGTCCAATGTTCAAACTTTTTCGACTTAAGACCAATTAGTTTGCGTAATTTCATAAACAAAGTGATTTTTAAGGTGATACAAAGGAGACTTGATGTGTTGTTGTCTATCACATTTCTCCTAATCAATCAAGCTTTGTGAAAAAAAGGTGTATAATTGAAAATAATCCATTAACTCAAGAGATTGTTATTGATATTAGGATAAGGAAGCATTCTAATGTGGTGTTGAAGCTACATATGTCAAAGGCTGACATGATCTCCAGGTTATTTTTGTCTAAAGTTCTTAAATGTGTTTTTTTTTAAAATGTAGTTGACTTAATTTGGAGTCTTATTGTCAATTACTGGTACACCATATTGATTAATGGTCAAAGTTATGATTTTTTCATTCTTCTGGGGTGAAGCAAGGAGACTTTTTATGTCCTACTTTATTCATAATCGCAACAGAGGTTTCATCTAGAGAATTGAATGCACTGTTTGTCAAAGTGAAGTGTTAACATAAATCACATTTCTTATGCAAATGATACTATTATTTTTGCTTCATCAGACAAGAAATCACTGGAGTTTATCAGGAAAGTGTTTCATGATTATGAGAAGATGTCTGATCAGTTGATTAATAAGGGGAGAAAAACTATTTGTATGTATTTAATAAAGTTATAGCTAACCAGATGCAAGAAGTTAAAGAGATTACATACTTTGAGAAGGATAATCTATTTTTCAAGTACTTGAGATGTCTCATTTTTCGTTCAAGGAAGAATAATTTTTTTTTATAATCATATTACCAAAAATGTAAAGGATAAGTTTCAACATTGGAAGGATAAATAAAAGGCAGTACTTATCAATAGTATTCTATAATGTACGCCCAAATACCTTCTCTCAATTATAATACCAATAAAATACACTATTGAAGAGCTTTACAGAACCTTTGCTAGATATTTTTGGATCAAAAAAGAAAGATGAAAGAAGAGACACTGGGTTTGAACCTATGTTTGCCAATACAAGAGGGCAAAATAGATTTTAGAAGTCTTTTTGATGTGTCCAAAGCCATTTTTGCAAAGTTGTGGTAAAAATTCAAGACTTCAAGATCTCTATGGTCTAACTTCATATGAAACAAGTATTGTTAAAAAAAATTCCAACCATTGCTCAATGGCAAGGAAGATCTCAAATTTGAAAGAAGATGTTGGAGGCCAGAAAAAGTATAGAATAGGAGACTTGGTGAAAACCTAGGAATGAAAATTCTAATGTGTGATTTGACAATTAGACTCAATTAGGCCCTCTTACTTACATTATTTTTGCAGATTTCATTATTGTTAAGAATCTGGAGGGAATTAGTATGTTCATGAATCAAGAAAGGTGAAATACTCAACTGATGCATCAATGTCTACCTGAAGACATAGTGGAGCATGTTTAATATCAATATTTGTGATACTTTAGAAATGTGGGACAGACCTTGATGGATACAACTGACAGTGAGAGTTTTTCTGTCAAAAGTGCAAGGGAATTACTAAGATACAGAGTGAGTAACAACAATTTACAAAAAAATATTGGTGAATGGTTACCTTTTAAAATTTTCTTTTTCTCTTGAAGATTATGAAAAAGAAAATTTATATAAATGAAGCTCTTGATAAATGTGGTATTTATATAGCTTCTAGATGTATCCGCTGTGAAAGTCATGGAATTTAGACTATTGATCATCTATTCTTAATTTTTTTTTGCTAGAGGCATCTGCATTTTGTTTGCAAGTGTATCAGGAGTGTAGGTCCTTTTGTACAAATTAATCAAACTTTTAATATATGTGGTGGACAGTAGAGGGTTTACCTAAGCTAAAAGAAACTTACAAGGTTATTCATGAAATCATCTACTGACAAATATGAAAGTGGAGAAATTCTATTATATATGGAGAAAGAATGTCCTGAAGTAGGGTAATATATGAGATTAGTTGGAACCTGTCCATGATAACTACGGACATGTGCCCTTAGATAAATAATATTCCTCATAATTAGGCTCAAATAGTCCAATTTTTTGAGGGTTTAGTTCCTAGAATGGAATATACAATGGTACTTTGGAAGGTTCCACAAAAGGGTTGGTACAAGTGCAATAGTGAGGGAGCTTCTAAAGAAAACTCCGAAAAAAGTTTTATTACTTTTTGTATCAGAAATGACAATAAAGAACTTATTTTTGTCAGTGTAATAACTATTCCTGACACAACAAGCATATGTGTAGAGGCTATAACTATGAAGGATGTATTAGAACATTGTGTGAACAATTTGTTTTCTTTAATTCTGAAAACAAATTCTTTGTTTCGAAAGCAGGTATTGAAATAGAATAGAATAGAATACATAATGAAAGATTTGTCTGGAGGTTAAGAGAATTCAGAGATGGAGGAAAATAAGAGAAAACAGGGTTAAACATGTGTTGAAG